AGAATGAGAAAGACACTTTGTCATCAATGAACAGGAATGGTACTGACAAAATTGGAAAAGTTGATGTTGTTGCTGGTGGAAATAACCAACAATTTGCATGGTCCAATGGAAATAAACCTGATTCTTTTGTAGTTAATGGTACCAGGAGCATGGCGGTCGGAGGGCAGATTGATACTACGCTTTCTGATGCCTCTGATAACTCATGGCGAAAGAAAAGTTCAGAAAATTCTTGTGCTATTTCAGTACCAAAGAGAAAATCAGAAGATTCTTATGATATTTTAGGGACAAAGCGAAAATCCGAAGATTATTCTGATGTCTCAGGGGCAAAGAGAAAATATGAAAATTCCTGTAATTTCTCGGGGACAAAGAGAATATCTGAAGGTTCCTGTAATTTATCAGGGCCAAAAAGAAAATCAGATGAGTCTTCTGATAACTCAGTTCCAATGACAAAGCCGAAAGACTCCTCTTTTAACGTAGGGGGAAACAGAAAATTGAAAGACTCGTGTGATCACTCAGGGCTAAAGAAAACAGAAGACACTGGTGATTTCTCGATGCTAAAGGGAAAATCTTGTGTTTTGCTTTCCCAGGATGCTCAATCTCGAGCAGAAGTTGAAAAGATGAAAGAAATGTAAGCTACCTTTTTATCTCAATTGCTTTAGGGATGCCTTTTATCTAGATGTTGCATGCTCTATGTGACTTAAGAGGTTCTCTTTCTTTTAATATATTGTTTTTTGTGGTTTTTCATGCCTGACGTGTCTTTGAATTGTGAGTTCAATTAGTTCAAACTAGGGTGTTTTGCTTTACCACATGTGGCTGTAGTTATCCAGCTCTAACTTGTCAAAGTTATGTAGGACTTCTTTACTATTCACCTATTACTTGGGTTGTATTCAACTTCATCTGAAGTTGTGTTTTTATTCATCTTATTATTATTATTATTTTTACATGTTTGATTCTGGTAAAAATTTACTAGGTTGAAAAACAAAGCTTCTTCAATTTTGCGATCTTGTGGCTGGTATGTTGATGTTTACAATTTCATGTACTCAAAGAAGCAGTCATATGCACAGGAGACTGGAAGCACCCAGAGTGACAATGATTTAGAGTAAGCCTTTCTTATACTGTTAAGTAACGTTCTTATATGTGCAAATTTAATTCTATGTGTACTTCAAGTATGCTTGATTTTCTTTAGGAATTTATGTTCTTTGTTGTGGCTAGTTTTTGATGCATTTGAGTTGCTGTAGATTTCCCATCTAAATTAGTTACAAAGAAAGGATGGAGTTTCTTTTTTTGAATAACCCATGCTGATTGGATTTGGCGCAAATAGCTTTTGAGTAAAGAAATTGATTTCTAACACTTTTTAACAAATCACAATATTTCTGTTTTCATCACAACACCTTTCTGAATCTTTTTTAGAAACAATTACTCATTGAATATATGTAGGTGTGCTACCCAGTTTTGTGAAATTGGTAGTCAAGGTAGAGAAGTCAAAATATGTCATGAACCAATTTTAGGTACTCTTCCCCAAGTTAAGTTGCTTCGACCTTTTCTTTTTCCTTATCCCTGTCTGATACTCATATCCTATTTTCCAAGGAAATAGACACTCACTCAAAACCCTATTTTGAGTTAACATAGCTTCCTAGTGCATTTCATTTATTTCATTAAAACATTAAAAATGGCTTTCATTTTCTTTCCTTTGCTAGATGCACTGTCCAAGTCTCATATTTCCATGCTGATTGGATTTGGCGCAAATAGCTTTTTAGTAAAGAAATTGATTTCTAACACTTTTTAACAAATCACAATATTTCTGTTTTCATCACAACACCTATCTGAATCTTTTTTAGAAACAATTACTCATTGATTATATGTAGGTGTGCTACCCAGTTTTGTGAAATTGGTAGTCAAGGTAGAGAAGTCAAAATATGTTATGAACCAATTTTAGGCACTCTTCCCCAAGTTAAGTTGCTTCGACCTTTTCTTTTTCCTTATCCCTGTCTGATACTCATATCCTATTTTCCAAGGAAATAGACACTCACTCAAAACCCTATTTTGAGTTAACATAGCTTCTTAGTGCATTTCATTTATTTCATTAAAACATTAAAAATGGCTTTCATTTTCTTTCCTTTGCTAGATGCACTGTCCAAGTCTCATATTTTCATATTCATATTTGTTTTTTCCACCATTATGTTCATATTGAACACTCATGTTTAACGGGTAATTTACATAATAAAACATGGAACTTAACTTCAATTTTCATTTAGATCACAAAACTTTAATTCAATCAAATTAGATCATTCAACTTCTATTATTAGTAAAGTAAGTCATTTATACTAATACGTTAAATAGTTCTAACAAAAAAAATTTAAATTGACACTTTAACCTAACACGTATTTCACATATCATCGTCAAGTAATGTTTAACTGATAATTTAAATAATATTTGTTAGAATTTTCTCAAACATTTTATTCAAATAAATCAAAAGGAAAAAGAACTGATTTTTTGTTTATAAATTCTAACAAAAATTAATTAAGTTGACAATTAAACAATATTTGATGATGATATGTGAAAAACACGTTCATTGAAAATGTGAATTTAAGTTATTTTCATTAGAATTGTTTAACGGTGTTAGTACAAGTGATTTAATAAATTAATAATAAATGTGCTATAATTTTATTGAATTGAAGGTTTGTGATCTAAATGAAAGTTGAAGTTAAGTTCCATGATCTAGAATGTAAATTACACCGTGTTTAACACATATCTGAATGTTTTTATGGAAATATGACTTTTTAAAGACCTACATAATTGAAAAAGGGCTTACTTGAATCCCAAATATGAGTAACTTGGCTTTATCGTCATGCTTTTGTTTCATAAAAAGAACTTTGGTTCATTCCTTCACTGCTTTTATGCAGGAAGAAGCTGATTGCAGATGCAAAGCCAACCTTTATTCCACAAATACCGGAGTCACTGAAGGAGGAATTAATTAAACATCTCCAATCTTTCAGCCGAACAAACCGAGAATCTCCGGATCCTTGACTGGTAATGTGACAATTAACTTTTAAATATGCAGTATTCTTTTATTCCGAATTCTGGTAATTATTGATGCCAGGAACTTGGCTAACAACTTCCATTCTTGCCAATGCTTTCTGCAGTCATGGTGTATAAACTGTATTTTAGATCGGTATTGTAGCGAAAGAACATTATCCGGCATACATTAGTTCTCTCTTTGAGCAACTTCCAGCGATGTGGTCAGAGATTTGCATGTCGTTTTCCCGATGCCCGAGTTCAAATATTGCCGAAAGACTCAACAACTCGAATTTGGTTTTTTTTTTTTTTTTCTGGCAAAGAAGTAAGGAATCTTTAATTCATTTTGTAAGATATGCATTTTTGGGGAATACAAATTATTGGATGGATGCATAAATGACAATTTCCAATGAAAAATTGCGGTTGTCTATAATGAAAAATTATTGGATGGAATACAAATTATTGGAGTGCCTACGTGATAACGTTCTTTCAAAAAAAATCTCTTGAAAAAACATCTTTGTTTGTGTGACAAGTCAGTTGGGTTATTTCTTCCTCTATTATTGATAAATGAAAAAATAAAATTTTATCTAAACAAAATGAAATAATGAAAAAAAAGATTATATTTATTAAAAGAAATAATGACAATTAGTATAATCTTCGGAATACTATATTATTATATGCATGTAAATAAAATATTTTGTGCATATAAATAAATATAACTAACTAGGATTTATTCGTTATTATTTAATAAATAAACTATCATTTTTTCTTTACTTATAATTATACATTTTATATAATATTGTGATAATTTGAATTTCTCCACAATTAGAGATGGCAAAAAAATTCGAATCTGACGGGAAAAATTGAAAACCGAATTAAACGGGGACGGAGAAAAATCGTTTATGTTAAACGGGGACGGAGATGGAGAAAAATCGTTTATGCTAAATCGAGATGGGGACGGGGACGGGTTTGGTAATCCCCACCCCGATACCCGGCCCAATACCCGTCCCGATAAATATTAAAAATAATTATTATTATATATATATATAATATTAATAAATTTAATTTAATTTAATATATATATATATATATATAATATTTATATATTTAATTTAAATATATATATACCCGGCCCGATACCCGTTTAAATAACTGTTTATGCTAAACGGGAATACCCGTTTCCCCACGATTTTCCCCGATTATCCGATAAGGTCCCCGTTTAAATCCCGCGATTTTTTAAACGGAAACGAATATGAATTTTTTAAACGGAAACAAAGACAGGAAGACTAATACCCGATCCAAACCCAGCCCCCATCTCTATCCACAATCCAAATTTACATTCTAGGAACTTCACCTGACGGAAGGCATGCCAGACTCGTATACTTAACTTTCTTCTTGGTAACTATGCAAATGCTTGCGTCATCTATTACGATTTCAGTATACTATTACTTTTTAAAATTACATCATTAAATCATTAAATTTAATGAGTGCTTTAGTATTAGTCACTAAAGTATGAAAGGTTCAATTTTGTATAATTTTTTGAACTAATTTTTTAGTTATTTGACCGTTAAATTATTAATAATTAAATGACATGATATTTTTATTGATATGTGCTGATATAAAAGTTAAAAACATAATTTTCTTTTGGTAAATTATACATTTAAATGAATAAACAATAATTATAAGATTCATTAATTGATGAGATAAATAGATATAAGAAACCATCGATAAAATAAATGTAAAGAAAAATTACATGTGAATCGTTGACGATAAAAGAGAAAAGATCATGAAATAAATTTACCTTAATATCATCGTTAATGTTTAAAATATATAACATTAATGATATTCTTTTAATAATTCGATGATCAAAATTAAAAAATAATATAAATCGATGACTAATGCTGTAATTTACTTTTGCGGTTTACTTTTCCAAGAATCATTTGTTGAATTGTATTCGAGGAAAGTCGCTGGAAGCTGATCCTAAACGTCCTGTATAACTGCTCTCCCACAAACCCTTCAGCTTCAGAAATCACAAGGAAAACCAATTAGTCTCTGAGTTGATTCTTAAACCTTTGAATCTTTTCAAAAATGGAAAAGGAAGAGGTTGTTCTGTTGGATTTCTGGGCAAGTCCCTTCGGGATGAGAGCCAGGATCGCTTTGGCCGTGAAAGGCATAAACTACGAGCACAAGGAAGAAGATTTGAGCAACAAGAGTGGTTTGCTTTTGAAAACCAACCCGGTTCTTAAGCAAATCCCGGTTCTAATCCACAATGGGAAACCCGTTTGTGAATCGCTCATCGTGGTTCAGTATATTGACGAGGTTTGGCCTCACAGATCTCCTCTGCTCCCTCTTGATCCTTACCAAAGAGCCACTGCTAGATTCTGGGCAGATTTCGTCGAAAAGAAGGTATTTCTCTTTTGATTCTGAGCTTAGTCTTCATAGATAACACTGTTTTCAGACCATAAATTTAGATAACATCTCCTTTGAATTCTCTCTATAAAATTTGGGTTGGAGTAGTTATATATGTATGGTGTGTGTATATATTGGCATTAGTTTTAAAATTTTTTAATAGATACTTTGTGGTCACCCCCAAATATTAAAATAAGAATAGATAATTCCGTTTGCTATGTTGGGTTGAATACATTGAATAAATTTTCGGGATGTATCAGTGACGGAGGTTGATCGTCTCGCCCTACTCAAGGTTATTTTTTAAATTTACTTAAAAAAGTAAAAAATGATTTTGAATAAGAAATTATATCTGCTTTTAAAATTTGGAACATCACTTTATTTATGGTGAACTTTCGAATGGAATCCGAGTATTTTTGGGTTGATATGTCTTCTTACATATGAGTTGTCTTTTAGTTACCTTCCTAATCGGATGTCATAAACTCAAGATATGTCAGTTTTAACGAAGATAATGCAATCAGAAAACTATACTTACTGTACTGGAATGCGATATGAGTATTTCTAGGTTGAGATGTCTTCTTACGTATGAGTGGTCTTTTAGTTACCTTCCTAAGACATCTTGAAGCACTTTAATCGGATGTCATAAATTCAAGATATGTCAGTTTTAACGAAGATAATGCAATCAGAAAACTTGATACGAGTCTAATAGTGATTTAGTAGTAATTATGAATTTAAAATTTTATTTATATTTACCGTACTCTTGTCATATCATATAATTTTGAAAATTACATTTTGATGTTCTCGTATTCGTTACTGCATCTTGTCCTCATATCTGTATCAATGTGCAATAGCTCGTTTGTTTGTTTTCCACGGATAAATCATTAAATCAAATACTAAAACTGTTGTACTTGTGCATATTGGTGAATGAAATGCAGATATGTAGTCTCGAGAGCAGGAAAATATGGGCAGCAAAGGGAGAAGAGCACGAAGCAGCAAAGAAAGAGTTCATCGAGAGCTTGAAACTGCTGGAAGGAGAGCTCGGAAACAAGGCTTATTTTGGTGGCGAAAATCTCGGTTATGTCGATGTTGTGTTGGTTCCGATGTATAGCTGGTTTTATGCATACGAAAAGTGTGGGAATTTCAGTTTCGAAACAGAGTGTCCGAAGCTGGTTGCATGGGCTAGAAGGTGCTTGGAGCAAGAGAGTGTTTCCAAGTCCCTGCCTGATCAAGAGAAAATCTACGAGTATGCTTTGCAATTGAAGAAAAGGTTTGGATTTGAGTGAAGTTCAAGACAAGAACAACAAGAGCAATACTGTGTTTGGAAATAAATTTGAGCACTTAGTAGTGCTTTGGGATGGTGATTTGGTACTTGTTTTGTAAGTTCGAGTTTGAATTTAGAATTTAATGTCAATTAGAATTAAAACGACTTTAGTTAGTTACGTGGTGACAGTTGATAGTTCCTAATAAATCAATGCTTCCTACTAACACAATTCAGCACAAACCCTATGTAAAACTAGGGACGGCAAACGGGTCCAGTTTCGTGGATTTCGCACCGCATCCGTTCCAATTGGAGCGGGGATGGGTATAATTTTAGCGGGTAGTGGGCGGGTGTGGATTTATAAAGTGGTACCCATCGTGGGTGGTGGGCGGGTAATGGGTTTGAGACATTACCCGCCCCGCATCTGCCCGCCCTGCATCCGCCCGCCCCACATCCGTCCGCCCAGCTAAATATCTATTAAATTTTGGACCATTATGAATTTAGGTGTAATTTTAGAGACTAATTTATAAATTTTAATATTGTATAATATATAACATATAATTTAACCAAATATTAAGGATATTTAGTCTTTAATCTGGTCTTTAATTAGGGAAATATTCGGCTCTTTGATTAAACTCATAATCCCACTAACCACGTCACTTTCCATGTTCTTTAGCCCATTCTGTCCATCCAAACACAAATTAGCCGTACTATATGCATTAACATCAAAAGTAAAAGTTTCCATGTTCTTTAGTCCCTCAAAACCCATATTAGGCGCACTATGAGCATTAACATCGAAAGCAACTCAACAATCCAGCTCTGCGACTACATGCTCCCTACAATCTGTCTCCATAACATTCTTAGAGCCACTCCTCTGACAAATTAAATTGAAGCATGCGTTGCTACCCCATCACGAACTGTCTGGGAACCAACTCCAACATCCCATTAGTTTGCTGTCAGGCGGGTCTAGATGGGTATGTCGCTAGTGGGTAGTGGGTGTGGGGATGGATTTGAAAATGTACCCGCGTGGGCGGGTGTGAATTTGAAAATTTGTACCCATTATGGGTGGTGGGCGGGTGGTGGATTGAAAAATATTAGGTGGATATGGGGATGGGGGAGGGGGTATCCGCACCCGACCCGCCCGTTTGCCATCCCTATGTAAAACTCTGGAAATGAAGCCATAAGCAGGATAATATATGTGATTCTCAAAAAAATGAAACCACCTCCTCGGGTGAGGATTCACATAAAGAAGAATTATGGAAGTAAGAAAGAAAATGATGTATGTTGTGCTAAAAACCACAGCATCAATACCATACCGTTTCTCCCTACTCTTATCCACAATTTTTTTTAACTCCTCGTCCGCCATAAGCTGTTGCAAAGGGTCATCGGTCATAGCTATTGCACCTGTGAGTTATGCAACACTCCTCTTTCGGGTGGTGGTTGCATGGTGTTAATCACTTGAAGAAGAAGTCGAGAGAAAACCAACGTTGGTCAAATATGTGATAAAATGTGACAGTCACCGGTTTAATGCATCACATCGTCATTTTATTATCCATTAACGATCGACCGATTTGTTACAAATCGATAACATTAATCACTAATTTATTTGTGGAAAAATCGATAACCTACTTAAATTTTAATAACCATTTGGTATAGTTTACCTTTTATTGTATTATAAGTGAGAAAAATCATCGGAAGCTGATCCCAAACAAGTAAAACTGCACTCCCTCGAACCCTTCAGCTTCAGACATCACAAGAGAGAAAAAATGATAATTTGAATCTGCTACAGCTTTCAAAAATGGAAAATGAAGAGGTTGTTCTGTTGGATTTATGGGCAAGTCCCTTCGGTATGAGAGCCAAGATTGCTTTGGCCGAGAAAGGCGTAAACTACGAGCACAAGGAAGAAGATTTGAGCAACAAGAGTGATTTGCTTTTGAAAACCAACCCGGTTCATAAGCAAATCCCGGTTCTAGTTCACAATGGGAAACCCGTTTGCGAGTCGCTCATCGCGGTTCAGTATATTGATGAGATTTGGCCTCACAAACCTCTGCTCCCTCTTGATCCTTACCAAAGAGCCACTGCTAGATTCTGGGCTGATTTCGTCGACAACAAGGTATTTATCTTTTGATTCTGAGCTCGGTCTTCATAAATAACCCTGTTTTCAGACCGGAATCGGTTCTTTTGATTTGCTTGATTCTGGGCTGGTTATGAACTTCAAACTGCTCGAAATCGTACCTTGAAAATGCTTAATTGGTTCTTTTCAGTCAATTTATCTAAATTAAAAGCTTTGGTATTTGTTGGTTTAAAATATTATTACTTTGGCTGTAATGTCAAGAATAATTACAGATCCTATCAATACTATGAACAGATCTAATAGCTATATTAATCTATAATTTTCAAGTAATTATTCAAATGGTATACTTTCAAAATTAGCCCCTAACCTTTAATAAAATGATCATTTTAGCATATATTGGTTTTTGGAACATTTTGACCCAACGTTTTATTTTTAGACAAAAAATCCTTCATTGGATGGAAATAATTAGTTAACAAACGATTAACATTCTAAAATATAGACTTTTTTTTACCTTAAAATGAAATATTAGATATCAAAATGCTCTAGAGAAAAAGAGTAAGGTTCAAAATGAATATCCAATCAAATATTATTTGATTTCCCCCCTAAAATGTAACATTGGGACGAAAATGCTCCCAAAAAAAAAAAGAATACGAGTTAAAATGACAATTTTGGTAAATGTTGGGGGGCTAATGTTAGTATTATGCCTATTTGAATATGGGTATAAGAAAATGATCTTAATATATGAAATGATTCCAGTTGTGCCTTTGGTGAATGAAATGCAGATATATAGTGCTAGGAACCGGAAAATATGGGCATCAAAGGGAGAAGAGCACGAAGCAGCAAAGAAAGAGCTCATCGACAGCTTAAAACTGCTGGAAGGAGAGCTCGGAATCAAGGCTTATTTTGGCGGGGAACATCTCGGTTATGTCGATGTTGTGTTGATTCCGATTTATAGCTGGTTTTATACGTACGAAAAGTGTGGGGATTTCAGCTTCTAAACCGAGTGTCCGAAGCTGATTGCTTGGAGCAAGAGAGTGTTTCCAAGTCCCTGCCTGATCAAGAAAAAATCTACGAGGATGCTTTGCAGTTCAAGAAAAGGTTTGGATATGAGTGAAGTTCAAGTCAATAACAACAAAAGCAAGACTGTTATAAACTATGAACAACTCGAAATCTGTAAGTTCGGGATCGAATTCAGATTCTAATGTCAACTAGAATTAAAACGACTTTAGTTGTTGCATGGTGACAGTTGATAGTTCCTGATACATACTAACACAATTTAGCACATACCCTATTAACAATTCTGGAAATGAAATCATAAGCAGGATAATATATATGATTCTCAAAGAAATGAAACCACCTCTTTCTCCAGTAAGGATTCACATAGAGAATAATTATGGAAGTAAGAAAGAAAATGATGTATGTCGTGCTAAAAATCACGTAGAAGACTATAGCATCAATGCCATACCATTTCTCCTTACTTTGATCCACAAATTTTATCAGTTGATGTGGTGATTCTGTGCTGCAGTTCTGGTTCAATGGCTGTCCACAAAGAAATTGGTTCCCTTCGTAACATCTGCGATCGAACATCCCAAATTGAGCTTTTGTATCCGGAATTCTACCCGACAAGTTGTATGCCACGCTGAACACTTCGAGGAAGTCGAGATTGATCAGTGACGAAGGGATTTCTCCGCTCAAAGCATTGTTGGAAAGGTCTAAGCTTTCGATTTGGGCGAGATTGGAGAATGATTTCGGTATCGGTCCAGTTAACTGGCTGTAGGACAAGTTCAGTGCGTGGGTCCAGGATAGATTTCCAAGCGCATTCGGGATCGGACCAGACAGATTGTTACATGACAGATCTAAACCCGACATGAAATTTAGAATACTGCCTTTGTAGGTGCTTGATCTATGTTTTGTCAAGAAATCAACTTCCACATGTGTGACGGATTGTTCAGCAGTGCTATGGAACTTGTATTCCTTCTTTAAAGTTCCATATCTGAAATATGTGTGGTGTAATCCCATTCATTAGAAACTTTTTCATGTGAAATGTCGAAATACTTCGGCTCGATCTTTCTGAAGCTGATGTCCTGGAAACAGGAGGGAATCGACCCGGAGAAGGAGTTGATGGAAAAATCCATCATGCTTATTTGTTTCATTCGACACAATTCCTCCGGAATCAAACCAGTCAGGCGATTCTGACTCAAAAGCAGAACTCTCAAGCTACTCAGCGAGCCAATCGTACTGGGAACTTTCCCGGAAAGGTTGTTATTTTTGAGGTTCAACACCAAAAGTTGTTAAGTGTTGAGAAAAGCGTCTGATATTGATCCATTGAATCGGTTCCCTTGTAAGTGTAAATGCTGCAACCGAGAACATATAGGCAAGGGACCGGAAAGGTGATTATGAGACAGGTCTAGATAATACAATGAACGTGAAATGCCTTCACAGTCGAACCGACCCTCGAAACAATTGTTCTGCATCACGACTATGTCGAGATATGTCACATTACCGATCCAGCTACCGATGTTCCTCGTCATGAAGTTGTAACCAACATCCAATAGATACAGATTGCCGAGTACCCTGCCTTCTGCTTTCACATTCGACAGATCCCCACTGAAGTAATTGTCCTTCAACTGCAGCACTCTTAATTGACTCAAGTTGTAGAGCTGGGGAAAAATCTGTCCATGAAGTTCGTTACCAGATATTATTAGAATGCGTAAATCACCACAGCCAGAGATAAGTTCTTCGGGAATTTCGCCGGAGAAATTATTACAAGACAAGTCTAGTACTTGCAAATTTCTCATGTCACCAATGGAGGTCAATTGTTCTTGATCGAAAGCATTTCTCGATATGTCCAGATACTCGTGTGGAACGATTTTCCCAATATTCACCAGAAGACCATGAATTCGATTGCTTGATATATCCACCATAACAGTGTTGATCATAACAAATGGAGGTAACTGAAATTCCCCTAAGAAAGAGTTGCTCCTTAGTAACAGAGTAGCGAGTTTGGTATTGTTTTCGAGTAACCAACCAGGAAAACTTTCGTGCAACTCGTTGTGCGAAAGATCAACTATCCGCAAATCAAACTGATTGCGAAGAAAACTAGGAACAACGTTGGTATGACTGTTCAAACTACAGTTTTTTTTTTATGAAAGTTCAAACTCCAGTTGGATAGTGCCATTGGGGTAATTCCAATTCAAAAGCACCTTCAAGTTCTTTAGATTCGACAATTCTGCACCGATGTACAGAAACAATTAAGGGACGGAACTAGAATCATATATCGGGAGTGATCGAATTGTCATTTACGAATTAAAGTGTAGAAGGCCGTAGAGACATGCCTATATCTGTGAGTGGACCTTCCATGATGTTGAGTGATAGGTCGAGGTAGAGGAGGGAGGGAAGTAAGCCGAAGAAGTTCAAACTTTCCTTGTTCATGTCATTCTGGCTCAGATGCAGGTACTTCAGCTTCTTGAGCTTAGACAGACTTTTAGAATCTAATCACGCATACAATTGAGCAGCTTAATTTCTTAATCATTAAAAAATATTTTTTAATTAATTAATTCTTTTAACATGTTATCAAGTCCACGTTCACATTATGAGTATAGAAAAAAGGATGATGCTGCTACGCTCGACGAACAAGGATGAACACCGTTAATTATGAGTATAATTAAATTAATTTATAAAACGTTAAATTATAAAGTATTAAACATATAATTGTAAATTAGTTACAATCTTAATGTAATTTAATTAAAATACAATATTTATAAAAATTAGTTTTTAGGTCTATACCAATGACCACCTAACTATTAATCACTTTTACTTTAACTACCGATTTTTTTAATTTTGTCAATCAGATTATCTAACTATTTAAATTTTATCAATCAAGCCACCTACCGTTAAATATTAATGGAGGAGATGACGTGACAATTAATAAAATTTGTATAATTACACATTTAGTCCTCTTACTGACACATTCTATTAATTTGGTCCTAACTTTTATTTGATTCAATAAATTTAATCCTCAATCTTATAGTGACATGTGTCACTATGTGATTGAATGTTTTTTAAATATTTGTTATTTAATAAAATTTCCATTCAATCAAATAGTACCACGTGTCAATGGAAAATAAATTAAATTAATAATTATAGCTGATGACTGGTATGCAAGCCAAAAATCCTAAGCATCCTAACCACTAAGCTAGACTACTAAATTGGTCTAATATACAGAATACAATCCATATAATTTATAATATAGCTAATGGTAATAAATGGCCTTATAAGGACTCAAACATGAAATAATTGAAATAGTATAAAAATATAAAATATATATAAACAAATATTATAATTGATTATTAAATGAATATGTTTTATTTATATTTTAAATCACATTTAATGCAAAAATTAAAATAAGAGTGAATTTAATATGTTATAATTGAAATGTATCAATTTACATATTTTAAATTAATAAATTGTCTTCATTATTCTAATTTTATTGAACTGAAATGTATCATATCTTATATTTTAAAATATTATAACATCGATCGGATTCTAATCTTATTTAATAAATCTATACTAAAATAGGCTAATTCAATAAAATCAAGTTTTCCCTAAAATTTTCTTCAAATATATAATGAATAAATAATAAAATATAAAATTTTTACTCTAACCGAGATATAAACAAATCAATGCATAAGTTAAAATGCTTGCTACGATAAGCCCTCAACTATTAGGAAAATTCTAAGTCAACGAAACTCTTCGTTATATTTCAATTATAATACAATAAAATTATTTTTATTTTTATTGTTTATTCTAAGCTAAATTAATAGAATGTGTAAGTAATGAGGACTGAATGTGTAATTATATAAATTTTATTAACTGCCACGTCATCTCCTCTGTTAATATTTAATGGCAGGTGGCTTGATTGACAAGATTTAAATAGTTAGGTGACTCGATTGACAAAATTAAAAAATTAGTGGTTAAAGTAAAAGGGGTAAATAGTTAGGTGGTCAATGGTATAGCATACCCTAAAACTAATGTTTTATAAATATTATTTTTAATTAAATTACATTTTATTTTTTAATTAATTTACAATTATATGTTTAGTACTTTATGATTTAATGTTTTATAAATTAATTTAATAATACTAATCGTTAATGGTGTTCATCTACGCTCGACGAGCGTCGCAGATTTTTTTCTAGAAAAATGTATAATATATATATATATATATATAATAATGTCAGTAATAACACACACATATCAAATAACTTTAATCATTAAAATTATAATAAAATTTAAATCAAATGCAACAATATCTCATTTTACACAAATAATCGTTAAATATCCGTTGAAACGTTGTGTTCCGTCTTCAACAAATTTCTTTTTTTATGTAAATAAAATATTACTATATTAGTTCATGCAACCACTAGATCAATTGATAATTACTCTACTTACAACTAAACTCCTCTTATACATGTTTTTATTATCATTCACAAAATTCATAACAATATTTTTTTCTAAAATTCGTGTAGTTGCAAATAGAAATCATCATATTAACGTTAGAAATGTTTTTAATGGTTTTTATTAGTGGAAGAATTGTGTAATTCTTCTGAAAATAAATGCAAAAAAATGATTCTACGGTGAATTAAAATGAATATTTAAAAGATTTTAAAGATTAATTTTTTTTTGGATCGAATTAAAAATCAAGTCCAGTCAACATAACAAATCGGTAAATCTTGAAAATATATTGCAACATAAATTCTCCTCACCGCTGTTTTGTGAAATCATGAAACTTCTATCTCTTCTATTGTTATTCATTTTCCGTAATTCAATTTTTCTTAAAATAAATTTATCTCATGTTTTTTTAAATAAGATTAGACTGTTATACTATTAATAGATTATATATAAACACGTATTTTAACATTTTTTAAATAGTTTGTGGCCATTATAAGATAATATTTGTCAACAAAATAAATTAATTTATTGATAATGCACACACTCTGTACTGGAAGCTACTTGAACCCAGAATAATGATATT